GGCAGCCCCTCAAAGACTGGAAGACTGCTACCATGTCCGTCCCCACCCCGTCCTTCATTAGACTTGCCAAGCCCAAATCCTGTAGCCGTTCTTCATATTGTCCCCTATGACTATTATTAAGTGTTGTACCTTATGATTATTGACTCTTGAATCTTTTATTTTATGTACACTGAGAGCATATGCACCAAGACAAATCCCTTGTGTGTCCAATCACACTTGGCCAATAAAGAATTAATTCTTTCTTTTTCTTCTTTCTTTCTTTCTTTCTTTCTTTCTTTCTTTCTTTCTTTCTTTCTTTCTTTCTTTCTATCTATCTATCTATCTATCTATCTATCTATCTATCTATCTATCTATCTATTTTTGTCTCCAGTCCTTTGATCATCTTAGTCGCTCTTTTCTGAACTTTTTCCAAAATCTCAACATCTTTTTTTTGTAGTATGGTGACCAAAATCGGTTGCAGTGAGAAGGAGGGGGACAAGTGGCAGATCCAGTCCTCGACCCCAGGCACAAGCTGTTGAAGATCACATCTGCCAGACAGATGCCAAGTCAGATCCTCTGTGTGTGGCACTGGAATCCTGCCATGAGCTCTCTGCACCACAACCTTGGCGAGAGAGAAAGAGAGACACCCAGGAAAAATCAGCTTCTGGGTCACACTGAATTTTTGGAGCCCTTAAGTCCTCCTCCTCCTCCTCTTCCTCCTTTGAAAATCTCCAGCGGTGAAGAGTTCCAAAGCTGGTGCTGCCCAATAGAAGGTCCATGAGATGGGATGACCCAGAAAAATACTTTCCAGCACGTTGAGTAGCAATTTTCCAGGACCCCAGGGATGACGGTTTTTGTACAGGCAAACGAGGGATATTTGCACATGCAAGACAGAGATAATTCTGCTTTGAAAAGAAACCCACTGGAGTTGAAGCGGGGTCTTCACCTCAGCTCTGCACATGTCGTTTTCTTCTGGAATCACTCCCTTCCTTTCCTCGTCTCTTTCCATTAAACACAAGAGCAAAACCCAAGCCAGCGAACTTCCTCCCGCATTGGAGTTTACCTTTTCCTGACTCAAGAATTCTTTGCCTCAAAATGTCAACTCATAAAATATTTCTATAGTGTTTTTCAGAGGTGCCAACGGAAAGGGACGGGGGTGGAAAGGGTTTTTGAAAGAGCAGTGCGGCAGCTTGGAAATAAAAAAATGCATTCTATAAATAGTTTTTCAAAGATAGCAACTAGGTGACCGAAGTTTCTGCAGGCAAAATTCTAACTGGAGAACGTGACTGATGATTCCTGGCTGTGGGTGTGTCCCATTGGAGGATATGAATTAGGATACACCTAGGAGGTGGGGGGGAAAACCAGGGTCAAGGGTGACAGTGAATTATGTGTCTCAGAGTCGGCTACACCCAGGCAGTGCCAGACATGTTAACTCCCAATAAATCCTCTTGAAGTTTTGAAAGTCTGGCTCGAGACTCATGATGATTTAAATGGGGGTAACTGATGGAATCCTGACACAAAACTGCCCTGGAGAACAAGCTGAGGAGGGAACGAACAAGGGAAGCGTAAAAAAGCAAAGAGAGAACTAAAAAGGGGAGGGAGGGGGAACAAAGGAACTACAACCAGCAGGTGGATGATGTATTCTCGACAGAGAGTAGGCCGAGCATAAACTGTCTGGCCCCCGCGTCTCCAAAACACACGGGGCAAAGACAGGATGACAAAAGGGGTTGCAGGATTTGGAAGTTGCTAAAGCAGGGAGTGTCCAACCTTGGCAACTTTTAAGACTTGTGGATTTCAACTCCCAGAATTCTGAGAGTTGAATGTTTAAGGTCTTGGGATTTAAGAGCCGACCAGCAGCGAAGCTGATGCAATATAGGACGATGCAATAAAAATGAATCAGCATAGCATGGGTATTTCCCTTTAAATCTGGGGGTGTGTTCTATCCCTTTAAGAGGTGTTTATATAAAGGCAGCCATTAGAGGGCTTCTCCTCTCCTTGTGCCTAGTATTCACTGCAGAGTTTTAGAATTCTCTGCGTAGAGAAGAAGAACATTGCTTGTAAGGTATATTGCCTACCACAATTATATTTCTGTATATAATTGTTGTATATAAACCACTGTTGTTAAATGTCTAAGTCTGTGTGCTGTGTTTTGTTCCTAGGTTATCTCATACAGGCATGATATTCCACTCTGGGAAAAAAATCGGGGCCGGACAAAAGAGACCCCCCGCCGCGCGCCCGGGGAGCGCCCGCTGCTTTCCCTCGCCGGGGCCGGGCGGCGGCGAGTTGCACGGAGGCTGGTCTGTGGCTGGCCCAGCTCCCTTTTCCTGACGCTCAGCGGCCTCTGCTCGCACCGCTCAGGTATCCGGCTGGGGCTGTCAGGAGTTGCTACCGCCGGCGCAGCTCCACGCAGCTCCAGTCCCGCGTTGCCTCGGGAAGGGAAAGGCAAAACCAGGAGCCGCTGCTGCCGTTGCAAAGCGCCGCCGCGGCTCTTCCTTTTTGCCTTTCCCTTCCTGAGGCAACGCGGGACTGGAGCTGCGCGGAGCCGCGCCAGCAACTCCTGACTCGGGGCCTCCGAGGGGAGGGGAAGGAGGAGAAGAAGGGGTGGGGGGATAGGAGGGGGCGATTCCCCAAAAAATCGGAATTCCGATTTTAATCAGAAGAATATCATGCCTGCTCATAATAATAGTCACGCTGCAAACACTCTGACATGAAGTTGCCAAGTTGGACATTTCCTGCGCTAAAGAACGCCCCGCACAGTGGCTATGCTAGAACTGATATCCAATATGGACTACGGAGAGGAGCAGAATTTTAAAAACCAACCCTCGGCCCGTTATTTACCTCTCCAGGACAGTGCCGCCCACAGCTGCAGGGGTCGCCGACTCTGTGTCTCCAGCCCCGTTCCCCTGATTCAGATTTGGGGGGCAGACGCTGCTCACGGAGGCCGATGGGAAGTCTTCCGGAGGTTCGTCCGGCCAACCAAACTGCTCCTTGGTCTTGCCGTAGATCTTGACGGCATCCAGCATGGTGACTCCGGCGGGGTCCACAGAGGCCCCGACTGCAGTGGGGAAAAGAAGGGAGGTGGGGGGGGGGTCAATCCGCCACTGAGCGACCACCTCACAGTCTGTGGGGCCTTTGGGCATCTTTTCCAAAGGCTGCTGCGGGTTCATAAACCAAGATTATCCCTCGGCATCCCGAAGCTCCACCAACAAGCCACCATTCAACAAACTATAGCTCCTTGCAATGGGAACTCCCCCATCCCGCCAGCTCCCGAGACTTTGTTGCTGTCAGGTTGCCGCCTTCGGCTTGGCACCTCGCTGGCATCCTGCCATCAAAGGCTGGGGTGGTGGGGGGTGGTGGAGGAGAATAAACAGGCAAAAAGAATATATGAGGGTGTGATGAGAAATAGGGAGGGGGGGGGAATGACAGCTTGATAAAGACCGGGAAACAAGAAACCAGTTTGTGACAGCCCTCAAGGCCGCGCACCCCGAGACTGGAATGTGGATGAGGCCCCAAACGTCCCAGAGATTCTCCCATTACCTACAGGGCTCTTCCCTAGCTGAAGACAAATGGGTCACGGGATGGGAGGAATAATTGGTAATCTTTTCGCGCAGAAAATCTAGTTCCAGCCTCACTTTACTGAAGCCGGCAGCCTATCAATTCAGCCAAATTGGAGTCGATGGTCTTTCTCCCCTAAGGGATCTGACTGGGGCAGGTCTGACACTGGCACCCGCAAAGACAACCAAAATCGGGGCTCTTACTGAAAATGGTCAGCTTCTTGTCGGCTTGCAGGGCTTCCTCGCGAGTAAAGGGGAAGTCGAACCAGCGGGGGCGGCTGAGGTTGAGCTGCAAGGTGCGTCCGAAGACTTCCAGGTAGGAAGGGGCTCTCTCGATGGCTTGTGTCCCGATCTGGACCCTCATGCCGGTCATCACCATGGTGCTGTTGTTGTTGGTCACCTCGAGGGTGAAGCCCCCGGGCTACCGAGAGAAGGACAGGCGCGGCTCAAGAGGCAGGAAAGGCCAGGGGCTCGGCCTCTCCTCCTGCCGGCAGCCGAGGGGCTTCCTCGCCACCGCTGACCCCTGCCGGGTCCTACCTTGGTGTTGGCCACGTACATGCCGGTGGAGTTGAGGCGGTGCTTGATCTGCTGGGCGTTGTAGACCTGCAGGAGGTCATTGCCCCCGAACTCCACGTCCGTCAGCTGCTGGTTGTGTTCAAAGAAGTCGATGGGGAAATTCACCTGGGTGGAGCTGCGTGTGGCTAGAGGGAAAGGGCAGCGACAGAATGGGACGTTAGCGGGACATTAAGCGGAGGCTGAAACTGGGGGAGCAGCTGTGGTTGCTCTGGGAAGCCCTTCCTGAAATTCAGACTTCCCAGGTCAAATCTCTGCCAGGCAACAATCCTGGTTTACAACATATAAACCTGTCTTTCTCCAGGTCCTTCCTTCCTCATTACTCTCACTGCCTTCCCTATCCTCAGTTTTGGACTGTAAGGTCTTTTGGGCGCAAAAGGACTGGCCGATAGGAAATATAAAACATGAAAACAATACGACAGGTCAATATAAATAGCGGTGACCAGAGAATTCTGATACAAGGGGGGGGAAGGAAGAGGAGGGAAGAAGGAAGGACAAAGAAGGAAGAGAAAGAAAAGGGATGGAAAGAGGAAGGAAAGAGGAAGAGAAAGAAAAGGGAAGGGGGAGGGAGGGAGGGAGGAGAGAGTAGGAGGGAAGAAAAAGGAGGGAGGGAGGAAAGAGAGGAGGAGGCAAGATGAGAAAGGAAGAAAAGGAAGGAAACAGAGAGGAGGAGGAGGAAGGGGAAGAGGAAGAGGGGGGAGGAGAGAGAAGGAGGAGGGATGATGTGGAAGAGGAAAAGCAGGAGAGGAGGAGGAGGAGGAAGAAGAGGATAAAGGAAGGAGAGAGGGAGGAAGGCAAGAGGAGGAAGAGGGAGAAAAGGGAGGAATAGAGAGAGGGAGGGAGGGAAGGAAGAAGGGGAAAGGTGGAGGAACAGGAGGGAGAGAAGGAGCAAGAGAGGAAGGAGGGAGCAAAACAGAGGGATAGAGGGAAGGAGGAGGCGGAAGAGGAGGGGAAACCACCTTCTGCCCAACGCCCGTTAGCCATAACCTGACCTCGCGGCGACTTACGGATGGCCGCCGCTTTGCGTTTGCGGACGGGCTTCATGATGCTGACCACGCTGCTGGGCTGCAGGGCGGGCTGGAGCCAGTGGGAGGTATTCTCCACGTTGGCCATGTAGATCCGCAGGCTGCCGTCCTCGCAGAGGAGGATCATGGTCGTGCGCTGCTGCTCGTTGCAGGCCGTGTGCCGGATGGCCACCATGTCTTGGATCTAAGGCCAGGAAAAGGGAGCAGGGTTGACGCCTCGGGGGCATGCCTGAGTGCATGCGTTGAGGAACAAAGCTGGCAAGCAAAGGCGGCTCAGCAGCCATTCTGGGCACCCAAGGCGAACCAAAGCTTTGGATCCCGAGTCAAAGCCCTCCACACCCAGAGGTGGATCTTCAGCCGGTTCTGACCGGTTCTCGAGAACCGGTAGCGGAAACTTTGAGTCGTTCGGAGAACCGGCCAATCCCACCTCTGACCGGCCCCGCCAACCCCACCTCTTCTCTGCCTCCCATCGAGTCCCAGCTGATCGGCTGGGTCTCCTTTGGTTGCCCTGCCCAGGAGAACGGGGCTGGAAAGCAGGCTAGTGGGGTGGGGAGGGAAGGGCCATGCCCACAAAATAATAATATAACGCTTTATTGTCGTTGTATGTATATACAGACCATATACACATAACGACAAAATTCACATAACACCCAGAGACCGGACCCAACATGCACACACACATGACAATCCCCAAACACCGCCCCCACCTGCCAAAAATTCCCCGCCTCCTAAAAACACACAAACATCCACATAACAGACCAAGCAATCCTGTTGAACAGCTCATTGACGGTGGTCCTTAAGTTCACTGTTGTTAGGGATAACATTGTTTTACCCTAACTGTTTTGGGTAAAGATAATAAAATGATGAATCATGGTTTGTCAGATAAAGTGTATGTGACTTTAAGCTAAAGGAATGTAATTAAGGGTGCAACTGTAAAAGTACTATATAAGCAGCAAGGCACTCTCTGGCTCTTACTGGCTGGCTTATTGAAGACTGCGTTCTTGCTGGATCGGGGAGGAGAAGAAGTGTTGGATTACTTTGAAGATATTTCTCAACGGAGAGAAGATAAGTTTTGGACAGATTTATTATATGTGTACTGACACTGGCTATTCAACACGGACTTTGCAAATAGAGTATCCCTGACAAGACTTGACTGATATGATATATGACTACTGGACTGTTTATAATGACTATGCTATAATTCTTAAATGGAATAAATTATAATTTTGATAGCACAAGCGTATCTGTATTTTTACTGCGTGTTAACTAGAAAACTTATCTCACACATTTACCTGTCTTCCTATCTGACTTCGCTGTACATTCTGTTTAGTTTGTTTTCCTTAACACCCGTTGGGGAATCCAGGCTTAACAACTGTTAAGTGCAATTATAGCTCTGGGACAAAAACTATTCGGAAAACGCGTGTAGTAGAACTGGTAGTA